ACAAGATCCCAGTGATGTATGTAAATGTATTTTATACCTAAAATGTACCAATAAACTTAATGGAAGGGAAGAAAGTGTATTTTCCAGACTTGTCCAGAAACTCACAAATCAAGCCAACCTTAAATCAAGCCAAACAAATTTCAAAGGCAAAGACGAAAAGTAATTTAGCATCTGTCAGTTGCCATGGGAGTCACAAGGTCCTCCCCTGGAACCTGGCCTTGTTGTGACCTAAGTTTGTTGTTGTTGTTTTGTTTTGTTTTGTTAGGTACTGTTTTGTTATCGGGGTAAAAATAGCTTTATAAAATGAATGGGAAAATGCTCCCTCCTTTTCAATTTTCTTCAAAGGTTATAAACAAACAATAATTTTTTAATTCCTTAAATGTTTGATAGAATTCTCCAGTGGAACAACCTAGACTTGCAGACCTAGACCTTTCTTTTTGAAAGTTTTTGAATTATGAATTCAATTCCCTTAATAAAGAGATATTCAAATTTTCTGTTTCACATTGGATGAATTGTGGTAATTCTTATTTTTAAAAGAAGTGGTCCATTTCATTTAAGTTGTAAAATTTATGTGTGAACTTATGTGTATTATATATATTTCCTTTTATCCTTTGATATCTACAAAGTCTATAATGATATCCCCTGTTCTATTCTTAATTTTGGCAATTTATATCTTTTCCCTGTTTTCTTTGTCAGTCTTGCTAAAAGCTGGTCAATTTTTTTCATTTTTTCCAAGACTTAGCTCTTTGTGTCATTGATTTTCTCTACCATTTTTCTGTTTTTAATTTCAATTGTTTCTTCTCTTTTCCTTGTTATTGCCTTCTTTCCATTGGCTTTGGCTTTATTTTGCTCTTCTTTTGCTAAGTTCTTGAAGTGTTTCTGTTATGCATCTTTAGTTTGATTCTACTATGGTCAGAGAATACACTGGGTATGAATTCAATTATTTTAAATTAATTGAAGTTTTCAGATATTATTCTTCATGTGTTTTTCTGTCATGATCCATCTTCCTTCTTCTGCAACTCCAATGACACTATTCTTAGATCTTCTGTTATAGTGCTACCAGTCCCTAAAGGTGTGCTTACACTTTTTTTGCTCTGTTTTATTTTGTTTTGTTTCTTGGCTGATTGGTCTAATTTCTCTCTGTTGTTCAGATGAGACCATTTCGCTTGTTCTATTCCAATTCACAATTCTTTTCTCCTTCCCCTCCACTCTGCTATTCAGCCCATCAATTGAGCTTTTAATTTTTGTTACTGTACTTTTAGTCCCAAATTTCTATTTGATTCCTTTAAATCCTGTATTTTATCGCTGAAGCTCTCTACATTGTTGCTGTCATTATTTCAAATGTGTTTATATCTATCCCTTGAAGTATTTTTGCCATGGCTAATTTACAGTATTTGTCTGATAATTCTCACATTTCTACCATCAAGGTACTAGAATCTATTGGGTTTTTCTTTTTATTCAATTTGAGATCCTTGTAGTACTTGGTATGATTTTGATTGAAACCGGACATTTTTGTATCATGTTATGAGACTTTGGGTTTTATTTAACCCTTTTTCTTTTAGTTGGCTTTCTCTGACACAGGGAAAGAGAGTTATCCTGCCTCATCACTCTGGGGTAGAGGTAAAATCCAGGTTCCTCACTTGGCATTCATTGAATTCTAAGGTTGCGGCAGGAGAGCTCCTCAGTATTACTGAACAGGGATGGGAAGTTTGACTCCATGTGCTTTCCGTGGACTCTGCAGGGGACAAAGCTGGAAACCCATTATTGGCTAGTGGGGATGAAAGTTCCAGTTCCCCTGTTGGTCTCCTGACAGCATCCTGAAGGGAGTGTTGGGCTGCTTTTTCCGCCTCACAGAATGGAGGTCCAAGAGCCCCAGGCTTTGAAACTATAAGCAAGAGTAAAGCCAGAGCTCTGTCTGTGGAACTCTGGATTAGAGCAGTTCCTATTTAAAACTTTCTGCCCACTGTGCTGCCCTGTTCTGATCCTTTGACTAGAGAGAGTTGGCTTCGGTTCTTTTTGTCCTCTTTTATTTTGCCTGTTCCCATTGGTGTTTGCTGGTTACAGGCTTCTGCTTCAACTCTGTGATATGTAAAACAAAAAGAAAACCCAGGGAACCCATCATAGTACCGTGTTCAGGGCTCAGAGGCCATAGGAAGTCTGTCTTCTCTTGTCCTTCCAAAGTCTTCTTGCGGTTGTATTATACATAAGTTTCTCCATGTTTACTTATACTTAGTGGAAAGAATAAAAAGTATGTCCACTCCACCATCCACAGAATGCTTCGCAGAAGAATGCTTCCAGCCCAAGCCTAACTCACAGCCCCAGTGACCTCTGCAACATACAAATTCCAATACCTCCCAGCACAACTTTCTCCTCTTTGCCCAGACTTTTCCCTAATTTCTATTATTAGATCCATGAGGGAATGAATGTAGCTGCAATCATTTTCACTGTATCTCATCACATTGTTTTGCACACAGAAAATGCTTAAAACTCAAGTATTGGATTGAATGGAAAAGGGAGAAACCTTCAGGAAGTAGATGCCTCTAACCGTCTAAATTTTATACTTCAGATCTCAGTGTTAATGATGAAACTGATTAGGTCAACCAATTGAACCACCATCTATTTTGAAGCTGTCTAACTACTAAAGAATCATATTAGGCTTTCAGTTCTGTTTAAATTCCATCTAAGAACGAATGCATATTTTATGTATGAAATGACAGGCCCTGACCAGCTATTACCTATTTTTACAGAATAGACAGAAAATATAAACATAAATTACAGTAAAATGTGCAAAATAAGGAAAGAGTGGAAGGCGAATAAGAGGAGTTAAATGTGAAATAACCTTGTGACAGACTTCCCCTAGCGAGATTCTTAGCATGTGAGATGTTTGTGAACAGGTCCCAATAAGTTAATTTTTCTGAATGGAACTTGGTCTGAAGATTCCACAATGCATTATTTCTAAAAATAAAAATGAAATATTCTCAAGATTAAAATAGGTATACAAGCTTGACATAAAAATCTCTATGTGGTTGATGTATTTCATCATATAAGAACATAATCTTCTGTTGTATTCTCACATTTTTTCTTTGACTATGATTTTCCTAACTAGAGATTTTCTTGTGCATGCCAACAAAGGCAGGCATAAAGAGAGCAAGAGGAGTCAGATGCCTTTGTTTCCTCGTTCCTAACTCTCCCCTTATCTGGCCCAGGGCTCTGTGTAGGAAGATAAGGCCACTGCGATCAAGGAATCTGAAAGGTCACCGTTGGAAGCCCACCTGCTTCCCTCCTGAAAACAATGCTTACTTTGTCCTTGCTGCATTCACAGCTCACAGGGCCAAGCTGGTAAGGGCCTGCTGCTCAGACTTGCTTCCTTAGATGGAAGAAAGAGAAATAAGAAAAAGGGAAAGCTGGAGCTAGGAAGTGAGTCGGTGCAGCAAAACATAAAGTGTAGGGTGTGTATGTTCAAGAATATTCAGTGTTTTCATGGGTGTGAATTTATTTTCAACTTATACATGAGAAAGACCTACCATTTAAGGTTTCTCTTCACGCACAAGCACTCTGTGGCCGTGTTTGTTTCATTTCTGCTGCAGCCAGGAGACTTGAGTCAAGGACATTAAAGCCCAGCTGAGCCAAAAGGGCTCCAACGCGGGTAGGGGTGCCTCTCTCCTACAGGATCACAACCTCTGGGAAAGCAAAGTCTCAGGGAAGACCAGGACTCTCACTTTAAATCTCTGGAGTTACAAAACAACGAGGACAAGGGAAGAGGAGGGCCTATGTGACGAGGGCCTATGTGACGACGGTGCGGTGCATCTGTCTTGCTGGTCCCAGGGTCACGGACCACTGTGTGCAGCCTGGAGGGACACCATTGACCCAGGCTCGGCCCCTGACCTCAGAGGCGAGTGTGTCAGCTCAGGTGAGCGTGTCATCTTAGGAGAATGGTCATCTCACGGGAGACTGTGTCACCTCAGGGGAGTGCGCGAGGTACCTCGCTGGGGACTGTCACTCGCTGCGGGCTGCACAGGCTGCAGGGGCAGCCCCGGGGTCTGGGAGTCGTCCCCAGTCGGGACCCCTGGCCAAGGCCCGGTTCTTCCCCCAGCTGAGCCGCGAGGCCTGGGTGTTTGCGCTGGGCCGCTGGTCCTCGCCCTGCTCTCCAGGTCGCGCGCTCGTCTCCGCCCGCATGGACCGGGGCAGCTCCTGCTGCTTCCCGCAGGGTCACCTCGAGTCACCGTCACCGAATGCCCCCGCCGCCCGCGCCCCGAGCCGCAGGCCCCAGCCCCACCCCCACCGCCTGACTGCGGGCGGGCGACACGCGGCTTCGGCACCACCTGCGCGCAGAGGAGCCAGGAACTCTGAAAGAGCGGATGGCTGCAGGAGGAGGATGACTGAGTCGGGTGTCGCCTGTCCCCGTCAACAGCCGCCAGCACCCGTCCGGGCCGGGTGGCGCTCGCCGGTCCGCCTCGCGGGGTCGCACGGCTGGGACGACCTTCGCTCTGAGGGTCAGGAAAGACTCGGCCTGGAAGCGGACTCCAGGAAAAGGGCGCGGCCACGGGGGGCCACACCCACGAGGCGGGGCTGGGGGCGGGGCGGG